CAAAACATTTTTCATGCTGAAGTAATAAGAAAATTCTAAGCATTATGTCCTGGCCTGAGCTTGATACACATGAGTGAAAGGTCCAGCACAGCAATCAATGTGGTGCAAGAGTCCAGCACAAGTGCATGTACCTCCTGAAGGACAGTACAATGCCTTGATTGTATGGAATACTGGTTATATAAGTTAGGGGTGCTTGTGAGGAACATTAAGCATGCAGACAAATCAGCGATCCTGGCCTCATTCCTAGTAGAATAACCAGGCGAATGAAGGGCTACATGGACTGACAAATCGGCTACATGCTTCAATTGAAATAAATATCAGTAGCAAAACTCCTATTATTCAGAATGCCGGTTTGTGGCGGTGCTATCCGTTTGTGGTGCAGTATTATATTGTACAGCATCATCAAAAATAAATAATATGACCGAATCACGCACCCAGCGACCGCACCCCCAACCTCGCTGCCACAAGCAAGGTGATACATACCTCGCCACGCGCTTCTCTTAGGCGGTTAAGCTGCGTTTTTAATTGCACCGACTGCGTCATTTTGAGCCCATATATGATGACTGGCAGCAGTTACAGTGAGCTGTTCAATGACGTCATGCAATTGGATAAAGAACGTCATTGAACAGCCTCAGGGTGTGGCATGCTTAGTATCATGTGAGAAAGCCTTTTATTATGGTTGAAAAATTCCTAAAATTATGCATTTCTGACCAATATACTTAATAACTATGTGGGTGCTTAGGAACTGTCAGCCTCCACCCGTGTGTTTTGACCTAAATGAGCATAGTGCTTGCACTGGCCTATCGATCAAACAGGAACCCTGATGCTTTCTCATTTCTTGAAGATGTTTCTTTCTCGTTCATTCAAGCCGACTGCTCGCTTCATCCTCGTCAAGAAGTCATCTTGACAATGATGAAAACTATGCACGAATATAATATACTAGATTCCACCAAATTATATCCTAAATTTGAGTCCTTTTTCAATCTGGGCTCCTAAAAGTACAAACAAATGACGTAGCTGTTTCGTTTTTGGTTGCAATGTAGTTGACAATTCAGCCATAGTCACGTGCCGCTTCCTCACTCCAGTGTTCTGTGGCGATTTAACTCTTGTTTTTGACCACTTTCCCCTCCCCCATCCCATTCTTATGCGTACGACTCCGCTCCTGTATCCGCCCAACACACAAATGATATGTAAATGGTGGTAGCTGAGCAGCCGTATATAGATGTGCCTCTCGCCACTGATTTTAGAGCAACCGCCCCGAATTTCCGCAATGCTGTCCACTCAGCCACCGTCGGAACATTTCAGGAGCGTCCCAGATCTGGTCGGCCTGGAAATGCTTGGTGGTGGAATGACGCTGTAACAGGTCATGGGCACTCGACGCAAGGCTCTCAGAGATTTGCACAAATGGATTTACGCCCGTCATGCAGGACTGTCTGCGAGCGCGTGTTCTGACACGTTGCGTCACAAAACAGTCGACATGGCGGGATTTTGCCTCGACGTGCAACCGCCTTATGCCTTTAATAGATATTTGGGAATACGTTTGCTCTTTTCCCTCTCGCCGAAATTATATGAGTGCTTACCCACGGTTTACGAGAGGTAATGACGTAACCGAGATTCATGAAGTCACACATTTGCACAGCACTGCTGCTGTGTTCTCTTTAAACATCCACTCCCCAGCACTAACCGAAGCTTAGCTGACAGTTTCCACCCTTGAGTTCACCTCTGATTGCGATGAAGCTTCAACACTCCTTTTATCGTGTGTGAACTCGAACTGTCCATAACCAAATGTGGCGACCTTGGTTGGCCCAGATGAGCCGCCTCACCCTTTTTTAAACAAATTGTCTACTTTTGACTTGTCAACACTTCTGATCACAATCAACAATATCTGGACCAATCATACTTTCCCAGACGCGTGGCTTCACGGCACGGTTACTCCAATCGTGAAGCCCGGCAAAGACAGGCTGTCCGCGAACTCATATTGTCCAAATCGCACGCAAATTGAGCATGTAAGGTCGTGGAACGGATGGTCAATACACGAAACAAGTTAGCTGTTAGACGCCTTCCAAAGTGGATTCAAAAGTGATCATGATGCAGCAGAAAGCATGCGTCTCACACAGCTGTACAGGCCAACTAGGATCGACGGCGGCCAACCGTCGCTGTGTTCATGGACCTCACATCAGCATGTAACAAGTTCATCGCGATACCGTAATCTGCAAGCTGCATGCTTGCAAACCTTAGGGGCCACTTGGCCTTTTTTGTAATTTTTACAGACTTCAATTTCTCAGCTCAACTGAATTCAACTCAGAATTCTCAGCTTTACAAAAGGCAATTGATCATTATGTGAATTGGTGCTCAGAATGGGACTTCCTTCTCTCCGCTCCAAGTCCGCTAAGCTCCTTTTCAAACGGGTCCCGTACCGTCACTTGCCGACTCTCCACAAATTGTTGGTATTCCTATACCATTCTACAAGTACCACAAATTTCTGGGAATAACAATGGACTCGCGTCTAACCTTCCAAGTTCACATAGAGAATATAACAAATCGTTGCTTAGAATGACTTCACGTCCTCAAGAACCTTTCTGGTCATACCTGGTGTGCAGACCGAATGACGCTTACCACACGTTATAAAAGTCTCATCCGGTCAACACTGCAGCACAACTCCTTTATATCCAGCACTATTTCGGTCACCCTTTGCAAATGCTTGGAGGCCGTTCAACCAGCCTGCCAGCGCCTGATGTCAAGGGCCTGCCGCACGGCCCAGTTCTCGCCATCCGTGCTGACACCAACCTGCCAGCGCTGGCAGACCGGAGTTATTTCTTGCTACTTCGGCACCGCTACAAACCTCCAAGTTAGCTAAGCCACGCGGTATGTGCTGCTCTGGAAACCAATAGACCGCGCCCTCAAAGACAGCAGCGAAGTTCATATTTTCCGCCCGACGCTGTCAAACAGGCGCGACGAGCTCTTGACATTCCATGTATCCGTGTTGCTTATAACGACTTCCGCTGACGCCTGTCTGGCTTCACAATGATCTCTCAAAAGGGTATCTATTTAAATCTAAAAAAAACTTACCTGTCTCCTGTCGAGGTGCAATCCGCCTTGCTGGAGTACAGAAACACGCACGCCGAATCCGTTTTCTTACGAGTAGTAAGAAACATATACTAAGTAAGTATACGCTGTAAAACGAGCCTTGTTACATATCAGTCGGACGTATTCCTCAGGCTATGATATGCACAGACTTCAGGGCATCGCTGCAGGCCCTTCAGCGAGTTGGTTTCAACCACCCCTGAGGGTATAACATTCATAACATGATGCTTTCGTTATCTACCGACCAGCATGTGACCTTTCTGTCGATACCGAAACATTGTGGTGTCGCGGGAAATGTCCTCGGCACCCTTGCGAGCGAAGGTGTCCATCTACTAACGCCTCTGGAAACGTCTCTGGCATTAGGTCATGTTCTTCATTTAGCTAAAGCCCGTTTCACTCGGTAGTAGCAGAATGGGTGGGATGTTTCGCATGCTAGCCACATGCGTCGGAATCAAACCCGTACTCCAACCACGGGCGACATGTCGTCAGAACAGGCAGAGAGAAGTGGTCTTTGTGCGTTTGAGATGTGGTCACACTCGTCTCATCCACAGCCGCCTATTCGGTCGCTCTGCACCGCCGGTCTGCGAGACTTGTGACGTCCGGCTTACGGTAGAAAATGTATTGGTTGGACGTACTGATCTAACTCGGGAACGTCTCTGTGTCACCAGTTACTACTCGCTGGCGCGCCGCCTCCCCCACACCCTACAAACGCTGCTAGGCGGCAATGGACCAGCCTTAACCGATCCTTTTCTGGACTTCGTGATTAAATCGAAATTGGGTACGAAAGTCTGCCGAGAACTGATTTACCACTGGACTCTTCCTGCCCTCGTGATGCATACGCACAATGACGGACAATGTAACCATGTAACGGGCCGGCACCACCGTAACCGAGTTTTTACTCCCGGTTTTCCCCACATATATGCAATAAATTGTGATCTTGAGTGACTGTTCTTATCGACAATGTTTTTCACATTCCTTAGTCTAGCAAATTAAAACTGCATATCTGTGGTTTTCCCGTGCTCTCTTTCTCTATAGTGGCTGCCTGACTTATTAAGGATCAGCCGGTTTCGTGCGATAGATCGGGGGCCCCGCTTCCCACTGCTGGCGAATGACGTAAGCTGAGGCTACTAAAAAAGGAATGGACGTTGCCAAGAGCCTTGGCGTCGCCTACGCGTAATGGTAATTTCTTGGCTCGTGGGCACAGTTGCCCGAACTTTAGAAGTTAGGGATTGCACCATGTCTAAAAAGAATGCAGTTGCTTACATCAAACCTCCAGAACCGGCATTTTTGACCGCCTTTAAGAAGCAGGCGGGGTTTAAGGAAAGTCCATCGGTAGATACAAAGGTAACTGGCCATTTTTGGGTGATTGTGAAATAATTTCTGATAGTCCCCACTCAGTGAGCCCGTCATTCCACTGATGTAAACCTGGGCAAGGAACCTCAGCCATGATGCGTGTTTTGTACTTCTTTGACAAGGTATATATCAGTTTAACACTTCAGAACAACATGCTTGATTAATGTTTTGCGAGGGCATTAGTTTTTGTAAACCATCTTGTAGTGGGCTGATGGCTCACAGACCTTATCTTGTTTAAATTGTATTTCTCAGTGGACTTAGCCCACTTATGAACAGTAGACTTTTTCATATGCATTATGTAAGAAGCATGGTAGCAGTTTATTTTGATAACCAATATGACCAGTAAATAATGCCCCAAAGAAGATATGTTCTATGTGATGTCAAACTGTGTTAAATTTTTTGTGATATTCCAACCAAAAATGTTGAGTCCATGTCCCTTAACAGACACTAGAGGCCAGTTTCACCTGGGAGGGGAGGGGGGGGGGGGGCAATGTCCTAACAAAGCTATGCGAATCAACATCCCAGAAGTGGTGGCTATTTATTTTGTTGTGCTTCTAGGGCAGCATTCCAAAATTTATCCAGTGTGGTGTTAAGGATAAAACTATGGATTTATGCTGCCAGGATCCTGGCTTTTTAGTGGTATACCATGTGATTTGTTGGTGCTAATATGTTACCCTCTGACCCCAAACCCAGATATCTTAACTGCCCAGCTCATTTGTCAAACTAGATGTGCTCCAAAGCTGAGTTAACTGATGCATAGTTTGATGCTGGTTGGAGGGTTTTGAGCAAGGGATGTGCAAAGCACGAATCTCAGATAGCATGGGCTGCACTAGCATGAAAAACATTGACACCCATGCCACCCAAATGGTGTAATATTGAAATACTGCACATAGGCAATATGACAAATCAGCAAGGCAATATGGCAAATCAGTATGTGCCAATGTGCAAGCAAGGCATTTGCTGCCCCAGATTCCCACATTATTGGTGTGCTGAACCTGGTGTATGCCTGTGTCACACTTGGCAAGGCCAAAATATGCTGATTTTTCAGGTTGTCTTCCTTGAAAAATATTGTGGTAGTATTTCTGTCTGAAAGCATCTTGCAATATAATTTAGCATGGAGGGATTGCCTTTCATGTGCGGGAATGGAATGTACTGGACTTTTAATGTTCAGGACCATGGACTGCCTTCTGATTTACAGCATGCAAATCCCAAATTGATGTCCCTTGTGCACCACACATGTCATGTTCCAGAATTATCTGTATTTTTTGAATTCCAAAACAAATAGCAACCATTTGCCCAGTCTCAGCTGAACACCACCCAAATTCTTCCTGACGAGCATTACTCAGTCAGTGGACACAGACTACCTGAGTACAGGTCTTCACCACCTGTGTGTTGTCATTCAGCGGGAGGAGCTCGGCTTCGATGACGATCAGGCAGACAAGGACGACGAGAGGCCCACAGTGGTCGTACTCGAGCCAGGCCACCTGACCGAGCAGGAGGTGGCTGCTGCAAAAGAACTTGGTGCTGAAGAGATCCCTGAATCAGAAGGTATGTGCACTGCATAGTGGTGGCCACGTATAGTTCCAGCTTGTAGGGTCGAAATCGTGCCATCTACCATGGCACCCATTGGTTTTGCAGCATGGAAAAGGGAGCGTGTTCTACAGAGAGCAATGTCTTTCGTCAGGTAACCCTACTAGTAAGCATATAAGTCTTGCATTTTCGACCGTCCGTCGGCTATTCCCCCCGACCACCCTCCGACGATGGGGAGGGGGGGGGGGGGCAGGCGGCCAGGCTCCATGATCAGTCAGGCTCCAGTCGTTTTATTTGACTGACATGGAATGGAACTCGGTAACATTCTGTAAACGGACCAAGTGGGTGGCTGGTATGCAAGCATAAATTACCCGTTCAAGAAATAAAAGCTCCGCGCGCCTATGTCGCTCCTGCCCGCCTTTGAACAGGGTGACCTCACGAAGCGGGCGCGGCAGGCCTAGGAACGCCGTCCACTCGGCCGACAGGTTTCCAACATGTTCTGACTCATCCGAGCCCCTTTCGCGACTCTTTCATGTTTCGTAGTCAGTGAACGCCGCAGTCAGTCACACCTACGTCATCGGAGAGAGAACACGGGCCACCAGACGGCCGTCAGCCTAGACCGCCCACTCCGCAGGCGGTCGCCGGCCAGTGCCGTGGCAAGCGCGCTACGCCGTTTCGGCTGAGCTTCGCTTGTCACGAAGAATTTGGAGGGTGTCGTGTTCCCCTCCCCTTGCCGTGGGCTGGGTACAGCCTGGGACCCGCAGCCCAGCGACGAGACGTCCCAGTCCCATAATGTAAAATAGTGTGAGGTTACTGATCGGCTATGGATGTATCGCTTTCAGAACCTCCCGTCGATGGCAGGATCCGTTTCAAGAAACCGAAGAAGAGGCAAAATGAAGAGTCGGAGGGTGGCCAGCAAAAGAAGAAAGCTAGTTCGTCCAAGAAAGTGAAGAATAGCTCGTTGTTATCGTTCAATGAGGACGAAGAGGACGGGTAGCTAATGTTTTTGCCACCATCCGCATCGACCGATTACTTCGACGGTGGTTTCTTGATGCCATTTCACAATTATCGCCCATCATGTTACCATCGGTCATACATTTCACCTGAAATACACGTATGTCGAGAACAGGCTGTTGCGGAACTGCCGATGATGAACCACTGTGAACCTGTCTACCGCTGCCCTGTACTTCTGCATCGTGTTTGTGCGGTGTGACGGCGTAAACAAGGGCAGCTGGCAGTAGCCGGGGATGTTGCCCCGAGGTTGACATGGCGCTGCTGTCCATCACGTGGTTGGGGTTGTGGACAGCAGCCGGGCGACGCGGCAAGCGCTACATCCGTCGCATCACGGCTCATTGTGAGCCCAGGCTAATTTAGGGTCGATTTTGTTCTCTATAAGGGAACCGATTTGATTGTTATGCGGCTCAAGCGGCTGCAGCTCTCAGTAGTGTACGGTAGTGCGCGAAGTTTCCATGTTTATTCTGCACACCTCTATCATGTACTTGGATCACTGGGATACATATTTGGGTGACACACTTCCTTTAACCATATGTTGAAAGGCAGGTATTAGGACAAGATAAAGCTTACATGTCAACCCCTATCACAAGAAATGGAAGCGATGTTGCCACCAAACCACGCACCCAGGCCAACAGCCTTATCCCACGCGCCCACCACACATGGCTCGAATGGCTGAGCAAGGCAAAACGCACACCGCACTAACCGCGACTCCTGCCGCGGCCTGGCGGCCGAACACGTGACTGCCGCAGTCAGAGACCCCGTGCAGAGCTCCTCGAAAGGTGCAGCGTCCCTGTCCACACCACCTCTCGTGGACGCGCCGCCCTCGCGCAACGGCTACATGCGCCACGCATGCCGCCGTGCGGGGCGGACTCGTCGGTGAATGGGCCACAGACTGCGACTGCCGGGAGCCCGCTGTCTGCGGACCCTACCGAGGACCACAGCTGTCTGAAGCCAGCCGCTGTCGCCGTCCCAGAGCTGCGTGTCTTGGAGCACCGGACCGTGTCAACACCCAGCCGACGCGCGCCTGACGCGATGCACCATAGCGCCAGCTGTCACCGCCGGCACGGCTCACTGCCACGAACGGCCGCTAGGGGCGCTAGCGGCGCCCCGGACCGTCTTCCGCCAGCAGCGACTCGACCAAGTAGACCATCTCGAGCGCCAGCCGGTGCTCGTGCGTGTGTTCCTGCTCCAGCCGCGCCACGAGCCGCAGCAGCGCCAACGTCCGCTCCAGGCCCACCGACGGACACTGCAGAGGCACGTCCTGCGAGGGGGAGCGTAGCACCGGGTCACGGCTTGGGGCGAAGAAGGCGTGGCCGGGCCGGGAGTCGAGGGTTTGGCCGTCTGCAACACGTTGCAGTGATGAGGCTGTTACGATGCGGTTGCAATGTAACAGGTCCAATTCTGTCACAGTTGGCTGCGCCGACCCAAGTTCGTCCTTAGCTGCCAGTTATTTCCGAAAAGTCCCGTTTCCCTTTAGCTTTCTGCGCAGATCCAAGTTCGCGCCACAGCCGTGTATATGTTCCTAGTCAACAAATCGAACTATTCCTTGTTCTTTATTTTGTATCGCCAGCAGAGAAGCGCTCCCCTAACAGGCGAAATCGTTTGTATAAAACGCAATAACCACAAAGCACAACGGACTATGGACATGACTAAAAGGGTGGCAAGATAAATAAAGATGCTGCAGAGCTAAGACAAACATGATCACTTGAGTTCTAAGAACGTTTAAACTGTCATGAAAGGTATCCGCGCTAGTGCTGCCCGCCAAAAAAGTGTGCCCAACGCTTGGCAGTCTGCAAAACAGATTCCCTGCATTTCCTGCACACGAGAGCGACGTGCAGCGAACAGAGTTCGGGTGCGGCCGATCGAGGCGGCACAAGAGGGCAAATACCTTAGCAAGATTTGAGAGTCCAGCTAACCTTGGAACACACTTCTCAGAAAGAGCAAATCGTGCTGCACTCTTTATGCTACTAGGGATACGATTTTGAAATGAAGCAGAAGGCTGTCATAGGAAACAGGAGCTGTTTGTCCAGAGAATGTGTAAGTACCTAAATAAGAAACTTGTGCTGCACTCGATCGACCCGCACTGTGTGGGAATTGGCCGCCTCCGTCCAGACCACGCTAAAATATTCTAAAACCGATCGCGCGTTTGCAAAACACGCAGCCACCACTACGTTTCGGTCGAGTTTTGACCAGCTTTTACCAACTTAGAAGGACCGAGTGAGGAGACCAAGAGCTCGACTGTCACTACTGACTGCGTTGGAGACATGAAAAAGCCAAGGTTAGTTCGCATCCCGCATTACGCCAAGGTCCCTACACGTACACACATGCTCAAGCTCAGTCCTTCGATAAAATACCTAGTCTGGACGGGAGCAAACCCGAGGGCCATCGTGAACACACATTTTACAGGGTTGGGGGGTCAGCCACCACCTGACCGACCACGCTACTTAATGATCCGAGGTAATTATGCAGCAGCACGCAGTCAGCCGGGGACGCAATTTTGCAGACAATGTTTCAGTCATCGGCACACAAAAGGCAGCCGGATTCCATGACGCAAGGAAGATTGTAATAAACAGAGAAAAACGGAGAGGAACCAAAAGCAATCGATCCTTCCGGGACGCCGGAGGTCACCAACTTTCAACCGGATTTTTTTCCGTTGACGATAGTCCTTTGACGTCCATTGGACAGATGCGGCGCAAACCACTGCAGTGCAGAATCCCCCAAACGGTGTGAATGTTTCAGCTTGTGGATTAGGAGCTCATGGCTAACGTTCGAAAAGCAGCGGAATAGTCAGTGCTAATAACGTCCGTTTGGTATCGCCGTGGTCACTGGGGCTTTGCGACCCAGACATTTGCTGAGGCTATATGGCGTCGCCTGCCTCCCACCCTGGCAGGAAGGGCGGGCGCCGCGGATAATCGTACGCCGTACCTCCAATTTCCCAGACGAGCGACACTATGCCATCGGCACCTCCGTCTGGTATCCGTCCGACATGGCCGCCCTCTCCCACTCAAGTAAACGCATGCGTTTACTTGAGTGGAGGTACATTTTAAATTTTACAGGATACAAAGTACATTTCACATTTCTAGACGTTCGTGCTGAATGAACGCCTAGAAATAAAATCATGACGATGATGGCATAACACAGGCGAGACATGGCGGAACACCTCATCATACACAACCCGTTCCAGTATCTTTCTGAAGAGAAGAAGAACGGATATACTTCTGTGAGTTAACGGCTCCTTTTTGTCACCTTCCTTCCCAGGGACGACACCAGAACTCACCGAAAGCTTACAAATATCGGTGAGCGGAGCGACTAACTCATCCGCGCACTCGGTGATTATGCGGTTACTGATATTGTCAGTCCCACAGGCCTTGTTGGGACCGACCATAGTTATCGCGGATCGCACGGCTGCCTCAGAGACCCTCGGCTCGCTCAGTGACCCGACTGGGTAGTACGGCGCATCTGCAGGGTTTTCCACACGAATGTTAGCAAATTTCAGGGCAAATACGTCATTCAACGGACCGCTAGCCATGTCACCCGACACGAGGGTTCGCTTAGTTATACAAGACTGGTGAAATACACGACTTCTTCCTGGCACATTTAAAAAACAACCAGCACCGCTTGAGTTTGGTCTCGCAGTTGTTGGTCTACAATTTTTATCAGATCTTTCCAGCCAATCGTAGCTAACAGTGACACGGTCGACAGAGCTTCCGATTTTGATAGCATTACGCGACCCTAGGTTTGTAAAAGCTTGAGTCCCAGATGAATGTCCGGCGTGGGAGGGGCCACAACATACCGCGGTCTTCATGAAGTCCGCGACGCTCATGCTCAGCTGTCCCAGCAGCTGGATCATGTCCTTGGAGCTGTGAATATGGTGGCGCACTCTGGCGCCGGCCAGCAGCAGCAGCTGCGACGGCAGCCCGACTGTCGCCGACAGGCTGAGCAGCACCTGGCCGGGCGGCGCGCGGAGATATCGGTCAGACGGCGGGCGACGCGCAGACATGGGTCAGACGACAGGCGGCACGGAGACACGCGTCAGACGGCGGGCGGTGCGAGGAGACACGCGTCAGGCGGCGGGGAGCATGCGGGAGACACGGGTCAGGCGGTGGGCGGCGCAAGGAGACACGCGTCAGGCGGTGGGCGGCGCGCGGAGACACGCGTCAGACGGCGGGCGGCGCGCGGAGACACGCGTCAGACGGCGGGCGGCGCGCGGAGACACGCGTCAGACGGCGGGCGGCACGCGGAGACACGCGCCGTCTGAGGGCACAAGTAGTGCACTGGGGCACGGAGCCGAGAACGTACCGCGCCGGCACACGAAAAACAACATACTACAGAAGCACAGGACAGAGTAGTGTAGTGTGACCCTGACCAGCACGGCGCCTGTGCCCTAAAAGTGCATGCCCCGTCCCTTCCCCCACATACACACACGGAACGGCAATGAGACGCACCCCTAGCATATAACAGGATACAAGATAAAGACAAAGATTGAAGTCAAAAGCCGACGAAGACGACTTCGCTACCTCCTGCGCCAGCTGGTCGTGTCCGCCGCTGTAGAGGTCCAGCGTGTACTGGCGGCGCACCACGTCTGCGGGGAAGCCCCAGCCACGCGCCAGCTGCTGGCACCGCCTCACCCAGGCCACCGTCTGGGTCACCTCCGGCTGCCGGCCGAGACAGAGCCGCGGGGTCATTCTTCTCTCCAGCGCGGGTCACACTGGCGGTCACTGACCGAACCGGCCCAGTGGCTCCTGCACTTCCACCAGGATGGCAACCAAACAGCGGGGCAAGTTTCGTCACTTGCCCCCTGTCTCTTTTTTGTCATGTGCCGAATATTACAAGCTTCAGAGAAATGTACATATGGCAAATAAGGTCTAAAAAGAGCATCTGACGGGACTGCAACGGCCTACGCCTCTGGGGGAAAAGTTCTTAAAGACTTGACACGACTAAAAGCTTTCATTACACGTGAGAGTTGCGTTGCTTTAAAGTTTTCCCTTCCAATGCCTATTGAAGAATCACCACAGAAAAAGAAATCCATCCACCGTGCCGTCAAATTTGGCGACAAGGATCTTCCCAGCACGACTTCGCCTCGCCTACACAAAACCCGCATCGGCATAGGCCGAACATCAGAGCAACAGCCTGACTGGACCCTGCCAGCGGGGGCGCCCCGGAGCCTCACTGGGGGAGGCGGCCCACCTGTCCGTCTGCCCGCTGCGCGATCAGCTGGACGGCGGCTGTGACCCAGCGGCGCAGCAGCGTCTCACGCCGGCCGCGCACCCCCGCGTCCGTCGCCGTCGGCAGCTTGTACGACGCCGTCAGCTCGCCGAACAGCACCGGTCCGTCCTGCCGGACGGCGGCGGCGGCGGCGGCGGCCGATCATCAGCGGGTCACTCCACCACATACCCCGGGTGTGCAAGGGAACGGGAGGGGAGGGGAGGGGCGGGGCGGGGCAGGGCGGGGCAGCGACGGGCGACAGGCGGCGGTGCGGCAGGTCCCGAGGCAGGGCCCAGGGGTGGGAAGTGCGGACAGTTCTCGTTCAGACAGGCAGCCAGTGGGGCTGCATTATGATGATGCTGCCCGGCTACGTGGCCCATTGTCAAGAATACAACCTGGTAAGACGTAACTACAGCCCGAACAAGACGGCCGAAATGCAGGATTGCAAGCAAGCTTGCTTGTTCCAACGGCGTTCGAACGGGCTCATTCAGTGGTGGAGACAACGATACACAAACATTGATTCATCACCACGGCGCGAAATAGGCGCGGCATCGCGACACTGAGCGTCGAGCATCATCCGCAGGCCTGGTAGCAACCAGGCTTACCTGGGCTGTCAAAACCTGACATCAACGTGAAGTTTTTAACATCACGACAGCGAAGCCATCACATAGCACAAGGGTTCGTCGGAACTCGGAACAACGCAAACTCAACGCTCCGTCTGAGCCTGGCCGAGTGACATGACATGACACGACAAGTCCCGCCGACGTCAAACACGACACGTCAGTCTCACCTCCTCGTTGAAGCAGCTGTACGGGTGCACGCTCCTGAGGTCGAGATGCACCTGGGCGTACAGCACGTCCAGCATCTGGATGTGGAGGGCGGCGACATCGTCGGTGCAGGGCCGCTGGCGGGCGGCCAGATCCAGCAGCGAGGCCGGGCCGGCGTGGGCCGCCCACAAGTTGTCGCTGTAGAGCACCGGCGGCCGCTCCACCTCGCTGGTGATCAGGGCCTGGCCACGGGGCCCGGCGGGTCGCGTCAACCACCTAGGCCAGCCGTAGTGAAGCCCAACCGCACAACAGAAGCCTCTGGATAAGGCAGCGCGGCTCTTTTCGGGAGGGGGGGGGGAGGGGTGTCAGATGTGTCTTGAACTAGCCGATTAATCTGATAACGGGATTTAACTTAATTGTGTTTTAAAATAAACCACTCACGTTTAAATCATACTTAGTCCGGTTGGTCACTGCCACCCACCCACCTTGGCCAGCTGCTCCATTAAGCTGCGGCAGGCCCTCAGCATGTGGGGCAGCTGGAGGGCCGGCAGCTGCACCTCGCGGCGGCAGAGGACGTCATCAGGCCGCCGGCCGTTCCGCTGCAGCACTTCGGCTACGACGCCACAAGGCCGGTTCACCAGAGCAGACCACAGCAGGCTACAGGCACCTGAGGGGGTACACGGGTCAGGGTGGGCCGACCACAGCAGGCTACAGGAGCCTACGGGGATACACTACGCAGGGTCAGGGTGGGCAGACCACAGCAGGCTACAGGAGCCTGAGGGGATACACTACACAGGGTCAGGGTGGGCAGACCACAGCAGGCTACAGGCACCTGAGGGGGTACACGGGTCAGGGTGGGCCGACCACAGCAGGCTACAGGAGCCTACGGGGATACACTACGCAGGGTCAGGGTGGGCAGACCACAGCAGGCTACAGGCACCTGAGGGGGTACACGGGTCAGGGTGGGCCGACCACAGCAGGCTACAGGAGCCTACGGGGATACACTACACAGGGTCAGGGTGGGCAGACCACAGCAGGCTACAGGCACCTGAGGGGGTACACGGGTCAGGGTGGGCCGACCACAGCAGGCTACAGGAGCCTACGGGGATACACTACGCAGGGTCAGGGTGGGCAGACCACAGCAGGCTACAGGAGCCTGAGGGGATACACTACACAGGGTCAGGGTGGGCAGACCACAGCAGGCTACAGGAGCCTACGGGGATACACTACACAGGGTCAGGGTGGGCAGACCACAGCAGGCTACAGGAGCCTACGGGGATACACTACGCAGGGTCAGGGTGGGCAGACCACAGCAGGCTACAGGAGCCTACGGGGATACACTACACAGGGTCAGGGTGGGCAGACCACAGCAGGCTACAGGAGCCTGGGGGGATACACTACACAGGGTCAGGGTGGGCAGACCACAGCAGGCTACAGGAGCCTACGGGGATACACTACACAGGGTCAGGGTGGGCAGACCACAGCAGGCTACAGGAGCCTACGGGGATACACTACGCAGGGTCAGGGTGGGCAGACCACAGCAGGCTACAGGAGCCTACGGGGATACACTACACAGGGTCAGGGTGGGCAGACCACAGCAGGCTACAGGAGCCTGGGGGGATACACTACACAGGGTCAGGGTGGGCAGAGCAGCCAGGCTGCAGGAGCCTGGGGGGATACACTACACAGGGTCAGGGTGGGCAGAGCAGCCAGGCTACAGGAGCCTACAGGGATACACTACACAGGGTCGGGGTGGGCAGAGCAGCCAGGCTGCAGGAGCCTGGGGGGATACACTACACAGGGTCAGGGTGGGCAGAGCAGCCAGGCTGCAGGAGCCTGGGGGGATACACTACACAGGGTCAGGGTGGGCAGAGCAGCCAGGCTGCAGGAGCCTGTGGGGATACACTACACAGGGTCAGGGTGGGCAGAGCAGCCAGGCTGCAGGAGCCTGGGGGGATACACTACACAGGGTCAGGGTGGGCAGAGCAGCCAGGCTGCAGGCCACACACAGAGCCCGGGGACACTGATCACAGAAGGCTGAAGCAATCAGCAGGGGTCGGAGCGGACTGACGACACAGGCAGCAGGCGTCACAGGCGGTAAAACTGAGCCTGACGCCACGTCGCCGCCACATCTAACCGGCCGACTATAGCAGGCTGTCGGCTGCAGCCGTCACACAGGGCAATGGTGAGTTGAACAGACCACACTGCAGGGGTGGCAAGCGCCGAGAGTAGGCTGAGCAAAAGCATGCTGCAAGCGTCAGGACGGCTCGGAACGGACTGAATAGAACACAAACTGTGGGGCGAATGATGTCAGAGTAAGCCAAACAGTCTGGGTCGGCGTCACATTTTGTCACCAAAGGTCGGCTACGACACGCTGTGAATGCCGCGCACCACCAGAATGGGCTGAACAGAATTGACGTAAGCGTAACACATCCCATGCGGGCTAGCGATGCCAGTCAGACGACGTTCTCCGCGTGGGAGAAGCGGGGCGATAGCCGCTGTGAGGATCGCCAGCTGTTCTCACGCAGATGACGCCAAACGGTCGGCGAATGAAGCCAGACATCTTCGGCAATAGGTTTCAATGGTGCTACCAACCAGTTGGAAACCGTACCTTTCATCGGAATCTATTACGAGGTCCATCGCTATTAACTGACATCTTATATGACAAACAACATTGTACGTAAATGGTGGGTAAACAAAACTAGGCTGTTGTCAGGCCTGGAAATTTTAATTGACACTTCAGACTTCAAAATATTTCCTGATTTTGTCATTTGTGACTGAAGTGCTGCAAACTACGCACGGGACGGATACGGGCACAATAGACCCAGTTAACTACTGTGTGGCTTTTACGCACCATTCTATATCGGCTTAGGTCACTGCGACCGGCATTCCAGACTGCTTTCGCAAATGGGGACAGTAGCCCCTCCCCAAACGACCTACGGGTCTGGGAGTTGAAACCTGCGAGAGTTGCAGCCAGTTTATTCACCTACACCGTGCAGTTAGTTCACGTCTCCATCCGTACTGTCGTTGAGATATAACGTAAGTCTTTCGTAATGCCTTAAAGGCGGTCGAAGACATGATTTGCGCATGAGAGAACGCGAATACCTAAGCATATCAACGCACACTTCTGCCAAAATGTTTGTCCGTCTTTACCCTCCAACAGGATTTCTTAGTCTCGTGTTGCTGGACGCCGTATCACCCAGATTCGGGCTCAGTTTCGACCTGTGTTCTTTTTGCGATTGGAAGATTCCAGACTTTCGTGTTAATCGAACAACGGAGTCAGAAATGCAACAATGTAAGAACAATTAAGTGTGACAGGAAAACAAACCAGTTTAACAGCTTGCATGCAAATTTCCATCGATTCATAAGGCGCAGGTTTGGAAGAACTGTGAGTTTTGTTGCTCAGAATTGCATAAACCTCTTATGGGTGGTGGCAAATATGTTAGCTTTTGAAGCTTTTGAAAAGCGTTACAGCCGAACCTCCTGTTCAAGCTGAAAACTGCATCACACCTCAACTGAAAGCCGCTAGGCCTGTGGCCCTTCCCGCTGTAAAACGCCGGCCGGATATCCCTTCAGCCAGGTGGAGACAAACCAGGGCATTACTACCCATTATTAGGCCACACTGAACTGAACAAAGCCAGGACCTGAAGTCAGAAGTAACACATCAAGACCGCGGTGAAGCAGTGTTCTGGAACTCTTCTGGTGATGGTGGGCATCAGTCTGAAGCTGTGCATGAGCAAAATCCCTCCAAAGCGGTTCCCCCCACAGCCAGACTGCGGTCCGTGGATGTAGTCTGGGGTCGGCCAGTGTCTGCAAACCGGAAGTATGCTGTACAGCATCTTACAGACCGTGCCATTGTCGTGCACCCGCCGTCCGCTTTGCCACGCGGCGCGCGTAGGAGGGCTGAAGAAACTCGAGGCATGGCCTGTTGCATGCATGCAATGCTAAGCATGTATCACCATTTGAAACTGTGGTGAAGTGGTGGCAACTGCTTACATAAATTCTTTCAATAAAACAGTGTAAGGCATGTGATGCCAGGAGTACAATGGCCATTCCTCTCAAGTGAAGAACAGGCTTCTGTATAGCATGATGAAGATTGACACTCATTTAGTGATGTGAGTGACCAACTATGTCTCCTAAAATATGTATTTTGGGAGGTGACTCTGGTGTTTATTGTTGGAATTATACTTGTGCTTCATGTTCTGTGCCATTATTTGCAGTACCAGAGAAGAGTCCTCAAACATACCATTCAAGAAAACTATATTTGTTCATGGAATAGCACATGATACCAGTTGCATCAATGCAAACAAAATATGCACAACATCTGTTGCAGAGCCATGGACACTTTGTAAGGCCTGACTGCATAACAAAAGTATAATGATGTAAATGGCACACACAGCCTGACCAACTGTAAAGGCTGCTGCTTAGATACATGACTCCAAAGCTGTCACTGCAGTGATGTAACATGACAACTGACATAATCAGCCCATTAGCTCAACCTAGCTGTAGCCTGATATCAAGGTATAATTAGTATCAAGCCTGGCCAGTTTTGCTAATAAGCATATTAGCACTAACTTGTATATGGGTTACCTATTTTCAATGCTATTGTTATCCTAATTTGAACATGTTTTATTTTGGCTTTTCTATTATGCTAGTGATCCCTGACTTCTAAATATTTTGCACACTATCCTGTGTTACTGACACATCATCACATAGACAACCAACCTCTCACCAAATTTATCTAGCAGGGAACTTATTTTTTAAAACTGGCAGGATATTTACCAGGTTTTTGGTTTGCAACAAGTATGAGCTAGATAGGTAAATTATAGATGAGTAAATAAAATAAAGAATTACACTTTCTGAACAAACATAATTTCTACGCTGCACAAAAAACCAAGCAGGTCTCATGAAAGTAAACAGTAAACATTTAACAAAATAAACACTTTGTCCATGGCTGCCACACCCAAAATTTTAACATAAAATACTGGAAAGCCTCCAGAATATAGCAACATACAGTGTTAAGAGCTACATCACAGATTGTCATTTTCAATATCTCTAGCAGCCAGCACAATCCTAAAGCAGCATTCATGAAATATATAGCAAATGCAGTAGATAGCACATAAAAGAAAAGTCAGACACAGTCCAACTACCACTAGTGACCTAGATCACTTTTTGTTCGCATGGCCATCTTGAGGTGAGGGAAACCTGACTTGCTTGCTGGAGGACTTGATTTGGCCACAATGTAGGCAAATGGCTCCAACAAAGTGCATCTATCCTTGATGCTGACTTCCCACAGACGGACCTTCTCTGATGCAGCCCATATCTGGGCCACCGTTGGATCTACTTCCCGATTGGATATCTGATCAGCTTTATTTCCCAGGACCACAATAACAGAGTCCTTGCGCTCCTTATTTCTGTCCACATCCTTCTTCATCTCCTCCATCATCCGGAATGACTTCTCACTTGTAACTGAATACACCAATACATATGCATCTGCAAAGCTAAACACTGTGGCGCGGAATCTCTTGACATCTTTCATCCAATCCAGCAGTGTCAAATATTCTAAGTCGCTCCTGTGTTCCTTGATCACTTTCAATTTGTGCCATGTAAATGTCTTCAATCGTTGGATCTGGGGGCTTCCTTGATGCAGCATTCCCATAGATGAGATGTTCCAGAATTGATGTCTTACCGCAACCTCGAATTCCAGACACAACAACTTTTGTATCTCTTCCCATGCCTCAGCTCAAGCTCTTGTGCCCTGTTTTGGCACTCAACCAATCCAGCTGTTTAATAAGGCCACACTTCTTTACTGCTTTAATATTTATGTAGGGCTCAGAATCCAGTACACATCCAGTCACTGTCTGTCTTTGATCCCTACATCAAAGCTCTTGTACCAGCAACCCCCGGAACTCCCACGCATAATTGGAGTCAAAGTGGCGTGAGAACACCGCCAACGGAGGGGTCAACGATCTCACAGTGCTGCGGGCCTCCGGCGCTTAACATAGCTCAGGCTGTCATGGCCTTGCGGTCAGACAAACCCAGATAAGCATACGCACGCCCAGATTATATTCTGAGCCTTTTCACCATCACCAGCCCCTCACGCCGCCCAGCCCGCCGTCGCCACCCGTTTGGCCGCGAATGCGCGACATCTGCGGCAGTCGCGGATGACAAAGATGTCAACAAAAAGGGGCCACTAGTTTACTGCCGTAATCTATGGAAAGCGCACAAATTGCTGAGCTAATAGAAATCAATTAAGGGAGGGGGAGTGTTCCACACTTGAAAGAGGTTTTGAACTGAACTAGCCATTCCTAATACCGTTCGGCGAAATTCCCATCGCTTTCCTTCGAGACCTAAAACCTTCTCATTGCTGAGTTACATGCCTCGGAAGAGAATTTTACTGACTACCACATACAGATAATATTATGCGAAACAATTCAAGCACTCTGGGGCATGCATAATGCTGCACCAACGTTTTTAGCATCCTGCCACCCCATAGACCACGCGGCGCTCAAGGCCAAGAATAATATAATCGTCGAGCCGTTCAGAAATGACGTCCATTAGCACCATTTCCAAACATTATGAACGTCAACTGGCTTTCCGCTAATCTCGAGCGCTCTGTGCAAGTTTTTAATTACCAATCGCGGTTTATACTACATAACATACAAACTCCGAAATTCGTTTTAGTTATTACGAAAATAAGACTCATAATCGAATAACTAAAAAAGAGCGCCATAACCGAGCATGTGAATACACGTAAACTTCTTACACCCACGGATAAATATGCGAGACCATTATAACGAGGGGAAAACACGAGCACATAACGATATTTGGCTCGGCGGACACCACACTCTCAAAAGTATGGTGTTCGCTGTGCGTCTTACTCGTACCACACTAACAAAAGGGGAATACGTTTTCGACTTACACGCGTGAATATGCACCGATTTTTACATCAGGCAATCACAGACAAAGATGCATTCATCTCACCATCCTAGTCGAATGGTATTGTTCGCTTCATTCCTGGGATTTTTCTGTAGTGATGTTAATCCTCGTTTGCCATTCAAAAATAGGGGAGTAGGGCATTCTTACCGTTTTTAGATCATTTTTTTAGCAATCCCGTGGCTGGACGGCCAGCCGACCCAAATGATACTAATCCGCCTGCACGACCGTCTCGCCCTCTGCTCCTACACAAAAAGTGGCATGCCTGAATCGAGGAGCGACCGTAAACGACCCAGGCTGGGCTTATTTATTCACCTGAACATATACAACAATTTTTGCTATATTCGACACCAGAGTTGTCTACACGCGTTCTGTGATTGCCTTGCCGCAGGTCACTTTGGCGACGTAAAAGGTGACGTAAACAGTGACGTAAACAGTGACGTGACGTGACGTAAAAACAGTGACGTAAAAGGTTCTGAAAATGCTGCCGCACGCGTCATTTCATTTTCCAACTACACTTAAATAACCTGGGGGATCTTGAATGTTGCTTCCCCAAGCCGTGTAACAGGTATGAATCGGTACCTCCTTACATGGCGGCAAGAACTTAACATTTATTTAGTTTGCAGGCCTTTACGTTGTAATATTTCGCTCAATTAATCTGGAGAAGATCTCCTTCATCCATTTCTTCCCTGTCTGCAAGCTCCTAGGATTCTTGTCCCTGGCCGCCCAGAAGCTACGGGTACCGACCCAAAGGAGACACCCAGGAGCGGTGCCACCAGGGTAAGAGGGCAGCCGTCTCCGTGTCATTTACCGAAGGCGAGCATATATTTTAGCTCCCTTAAAATTTAAGGGGGATCTATCATACTGACAGTGTGTAGTAAATGACCGGAATATACCTTGCACGTTTGACTAGTCTAGAAAGTTGCATGCCCTATGTCGGGAAGAAGCTTCAAAATTGTAATAAAATTGTAATAAAAAATTGTAATAAAAATGACATTCCAATAAGCGGTACAGTGCAAGGCACAGAAAATAGGTACATAACGGTGATCAGTTGCGAAAACGGCACTTATAAAACACATGATTTCTCACCCGTTTTCACTCACTTACCGTAGTGAAGGTTGTTTGATTTCGTCCCCGATAAAAAACTGATGGCACAGCCCCTGACGCCTACCGTTCACGTCGAGCGCTTACTTGTTCGTCGGCGTTCGAATTTCACTGCATTAATTTAGATGAGTCGGCATCAGACATGTGCTCGGCGACCTAATAACACTTTGATAGCCTAATTTGAATTATAATCTTCATCAAAGGCGCATCCAGACCGCCGTCTTGGTGAGAGTCAACGCCAGCCTGGAGGAGGGGGAAGGGGGACAAAATAAGCACCCTGATTAAAAGTCATCTGATTTCGCTTCCTTTTATATCCCAAATGTTTTAAAACGAACTTTGTTTGGTCAAAGTTGCTTAGAAGTCCAAAAATATCATTTTTGCCAAGCATGGGGTGGTCTGGGGGGCATAACCTAATTGCACCCTCACCTCTGCATCCGCACTTGACGTTCATGTGCATGGTGGTTAAGAGTGAGAAGGGTTCACCCAGATCATGAGAGACGGCACCTCTTAAGAAAGAGCAAAAGTGAGTATGTCCCACTAAATACCCCTACCGACCTGAACTCTTCGCATTCCTCACATAAACGAGAGGTTCGCGAAGGGTGATTACCCAATGGCCCTGCCAGCCTCTGGCATCAGCTTCCCGCTCATCAGACGCCTGGTTATCGGCCTCTCGCTGACCAGACATCTGGTTATCGGCCTCCCGCTGACCAGACGTCTGGTTATCGGCCTCCCGCTGAACAGACGTCCGGTTATCGGCCTCCCGCTCATCAGACACCTGGTTATCGGCCACCGCTGATCAGACGTCTGGTTATCGGCCTCCCGCTGATCAGACGTCTGGTTATCGGCCTCTCACTGATCAGGCGTCTGGTTATCGGCCTCTCGCTGATCAGACGTCTGGTTATCGGCCTCCCGCTGATCAGACGCCTGGTTATCGGCCTCCCGCTCATCAGACGTCTGGTTATCGGCCTCCCGCCCATCAGACGCCCGGTTGGCACCACGTCATTACATGTGCTGCAGATATGCAAGGTCAAAGTCATGACTGCGTAGCGCCGGATCGATATCCGGACGCGTCAGCGGGCATCACGAACGGTTTCCCAGACGTGCAGTGGCTATCGCAGACGCGTTAACCATTACACTACCGGCACCCGCAACCATTTCGAGCCATTTTCTAAACCATTTTTCACTTCGTCACCAGTGATGTCACCAGATGTTCTACGTAAGATTAGTAAGATCAGATACCATCTTCAATGTTTTAAGTAAGATCAGTGAGATCGGATAAGATCTTACATCAGATTAGTAAGATCAGGTAAGATCTAAGATCCGTGATCCAATGTTCCTCCAGCACGCTACTGACGCGCGCCGAGTGACCTTTCGAACGCGGATGTCTGGACCGGCGCCGAAGAACGGACAGTGCCTCACGTGATTGGAGAGCTTCAGTCGCCAATGCATTCAGTGGTCTCAGCTGGGCCTCCGGCCATCGGCATGGGAGCGGGTGGGGCGGGTGCTCACGACCCGTTCCACTTCTCATCGAGGTTTTGATAGACATCATCCCATCACCACCCAAGGCCCAGAACCTAGCGCACATATGATCATCATGTCGATCATCGACCTCAAATGCTTACCACTTCGATGGGGACTGCATAACCGCCAGGTCTCTGTAGCATTTAGGAGACAGCAAATGAATATGTTAACGATCTGTCCTTGTCCGCCGGAGTTTGGGAGAGAGAGAGAGAGAGAGAGGGAGTGTGTGTGTGTCTGCGTTCAAACACGCTCGTCCGCCCACGTCGGACGGCCACACTGGAGCTGACCGTATCGCAGGTGGGCGCTGCTGATGCGCGTGGCGAACTGGACGGCGCGCGCCAGCCGATCGGTCCGCTCGCGCTGCCGGTTCCAGCCGGCCGCCTCCTCCCAGGCGCAGTTGAGCAGCAGCGTGTCGGCGCGCACGCTGTGCGGAAAGCTGGCCGCCAGCCGTAACAGACCGTCTGCCGCACATCGGCGGCGTGTGACGTCAGACTCGGCGGCGTGTGACGCCACACCCGGCGGCGTAGGACGCCACACTCGGACGGTCGTTGGAACGAGACGTAGAACGTGGCGCGGCGAGACAACGGGCCGGCTAGGTCGGGTCGACAATGAATCAGCCCCAGTGCCGGGCGGACGTTTGATGTGGCGTGGTCGGTAAACGCTAGGGTTCTGTTCGATTTTCACTCAACGCAGGTATCGTTCACGAGCTCACTTCACCGTCAAAGATGCAACGAGTGACACATTCGGAACTCAAAGCACGTTCACCACAGTGCCCCTTCCCTTCCTTTCCACTGGTAAACATTTAACGCTACGACACGTCAGGAATCCGCAACATCCAATTCCCCAGGATAAGAGGTCAGCAACAGCGTCAGGGACAGGACGGCAATCGCGACGCCGCGCGTGCGTACCGTCGATCAGCTGTCGTCGTCTCGCCCCCTCCGAGTCGGGCTCGGTGATGTCACGCCCCCAGTCGGGCGGCGGCGGCGACTCGCCGGCGGCCACCGCCGGCTCGGCCTGCTCCGAGGCGTCCTCGGGCGGCGCCTCCCGCGCGCCGGCGTCCCCGCCAGGCGCCGGCTCCGGCGCCAGGTCTGCCGGCTCGACGGCCGCCGACAGCAGCCAGCGGGCCACTAGCTCCGACACGGCGCCTGTCGAGGCGAGCAGGGAGGTGTGGTGACGAGCGCGGGCGATTTGACGGACCGGCACACCCCAGTTCCACGCTCGGGCTGCAGCGCGGGCCGGGTGTGGTCTGAGGCGGGCGCGGGACGAGAGAGCAGCTGCCTCACGCGGCGCCCGCTGACAGACCCGCAGTCTGGCACACAACAACGGCGTCTGACACGATGCTGTCCGACCCGGCGTCTGACACGATGCAGTCCGACCCGGCGTCTGACATGGTGCAGTCCGACCCGGCGTCTGACATGACGCGGTCCGACCCGGCGTCTGACATGATGCAGGCGTCTGACACGATGCAGTCCGACCCGGCGTCTGACATGATGCAGTCCGACCTGGCGTCTGACACTGACGCGGCACTCTCGACCACACGGTAAACCTGCTGCAGCCTGCCACGGCGCCCGCGTACACACGGCACAGCAGCCCAACGCCAGGCCGCGAACGGCGGCAGCGGGGCTGGGGTCGCCACGTCGCACAGCTGGTGACAACACCCCAAAGGTAATCCTGCACACCACCCTGCCCCAAGCCCGCCCCGAGTCAACACTCCCGAGCCCGTTCCCCCACACAGCCTCCTCGGCTCACCGGGGCCCTTCTTCAGCAGCGCCGTCAGTGTGACGTCACTGAGGTGGGCGGCTGGTATGACGTCGGCCAGCGCGGCCACGTCGCGTAGCTGGTCCAGCAGCAGGTCCCAGCTGACAGTCTGCGCCGTCAGCTGCACCCAGTCGCCGGCTACGGCCGCGCGCGGTGCCGCGCCCTCCTCCGCGCCCTCCGCCGGCGCGCACCGCTGTCGGCACAGACGGCCGGCGCTGGGGTCACGATCCGGTCACCACCGAGCCCACGGCGGCGTGCGCATGACTAGGATGACGTAGGTGGAGCGTGCATGCCAACGAGTCAATAGGAAATGAGGAAGGCGCCATGATCGCAACGCGTGAACACACAAATAGCACCACGTTGCACAGAAGACCAACTTCGCTTGACCACGCGAGCCGACAGACGCACCCGCCCCACCTTGTGCTGCGCAGCCGTCGCCTCCTCCTCCAGCCGGACGGCGACGGCGCGGCAAACGAAGGCCAACGCCAGCGCGCGCCGCACGTCAGCCGACTGGGCCAGCTGCTCCTGCACGGCCGGCCACTGCACGGCCGCCTCGCCTGGGGACCGGACGCGCCGCTGTCAGCTGAGCCGCGCGGCTAGGACAGACCGAACGGCCGCCTCCGTTCGCCGCCGACCGGGCACGAGCCCCGCCAGTCGGGCGGCGAGGGACTGGTCAGGAGAACGGAGCTGATGTAACCTGGGTGTCAGGAAGATGAGGGCTGGTGTGATCTGGATGTCAGGAAGATGAGGGCTTGTGTGATCTGGATGTCAGGAAGATGAGGGCTGATGTGACCTGGATGTCAAGAAGCCGAGGGCTGATGTGACCTGGATATCACAAGGCCGAGGGCTAGTGTGACCTGAATGTCAGGAAGGCGAGGGCCAGTGTGACCTGGATGTCAGGAGGGCGAGGGCTATTGTGACCTGGATGTCCACTCCACACAGCTGGACACGTTATGGGAGGAGCCAGGCGCCAACACACACCGATCCAGCACGTCGAGCAATCGCACATGAAAAACAGCGAACACGAGCAAGAAGACAACGGCGAAACAGCAGAACACAACGCCACCACACGCGACAGCCGCCAGCTCCTCCCGCTCGCGACCCATACGGGTCGAGCCGCTCGGCGGCGCGAACGCACCTGCGCAGGCGACGACGCTGGCCACGCGGTGGGCGAGCGTGGCCAGGTGGCCGGGCCGGACGGCGCCGGGCTGCGCCAGCCAGCAGGCCGCCAGCAGGCGCAGCAGCTGGTCTGCCGGCAGGCCGCAGCGCAGCACGCGCCGCTGCCAGCCGTCGGGGTCGGCGGCGCCCTCCTCCAGCCACGGGCCGAACAGGAGACGCGCTGCCGGCGGAGGAAGGGGAAGTGAGGCGGGTGGGGATTGGGCGGCTCGGCGCACGTCCGCACTGCGCGGCCGCGCTGTGTGACGGCGAGCTACGACTGCGGTCGCGGATCTTCGGTAAGTCTGTTTTGGGGTTTACCGTTGTTTATGCTGTTTATTGGCAAACGCTACTGTCCAGATCACTGGCGCGCTACGCCAATGCATGACCTTCTCTCTATGACCTCTATAGAATGAGCACATGGTCAAAACCACGTCATGCGGTATTCGTCAAAAACAGTACGACAAACTGGCACCAATACGCCAACGGCCATAGCGGAATACTGCTAGCTCCCGGTGCATTACAAACATACGACAGCACTCAAATTTTCGGCAAGGTACATTTCCATCAAGCGTCGATGACGAGCCACCTAAATGTCAGCGCCCCCAATTTAATGCGCTACAAGCAGCTCTCGCGGCATTATTCAAGTTTTCATGGGACTGAGACGTTCTCGTTCAATTATGGTATACTCCACGCCAAGAACGCGAAGTTCTAACATGGGAACACCGTTACGAAATGCATTTTTCTAGCGGCCACATGCACAATGAACATCACCGATGACCACGCCTAATAACCAGAGTCAAACACAGACATAACACACGCCAGGCCGCTGTACAAACGCCCAACCATCGCCGCCCTCCCCGGCCTTCCCCCGCCTTACCCAGCTCGGCCGTCTCCTCCTCTGTGATCCCTGGCCGCAGCGAGACGGCGGCCTGGCCGTGTGTGGTGGTGACCTCGAGACAGCGCAGGAACTCAGCCGGGCCTGGTCGCCGCTCGGCGAACGTGACGCGGCTGCGGGCGTCCGGTGGCGTCGGCGCCCGGGACGCCACCGACTCCAGCCGCGCCACCAGCGCCGACGCCTCGGCAGGCGAGAGGCGCAGCAGGCCGCACAGCTCCTGAGGACGGGAACAGAGGTCAGGCAAGCGTCCCAGAGACGCGGCTGGGGTCACACAGCCGCCTGAGGACGGGAACAGAGGTCAGGCAAGCGTCCCAGAGACGGGGCTGAGGTCACACAGCCGCCTGTGGACGGGAACGGCGGTCAGACAAGCGTCCCAGAGACGGGGCTGAGGTCACACAGCCGCCTGTGACTAGCGGAGAGGAGGCGTCGAGTCGACGAGCGAGCGCTGGTGACAGAGTGCTTCGCAGACACCGTCCAGCCGGCGGGCACTACCAGCCACGGGGGCTGGGTACCGTAGCACCGGGAGTTGTGGTTGACTGGGGGCAGCGAGTTTTGACGGCACATGAGGACTGAGGACAGCGAGCGTTTCTCCGGCACATGAAGGCACGTTGCATATTTGATGCCTTGGGCGAAGAAACGCGACGGAGGTTACCGGTATTGTGAGGGGTCGCACACAACAAATATGGACGAACAAAACAAAACAAGCGAAGACACAACATTCCTGCACATAGGTTTGAGTGAAACCGCGGCAAAACATACGCCCTGAACTTCAATCCGCCCCGCACCTCTCTGTGCACCCATCACTACCCCAGAGCCAGGCGCGGCGAGGCTGTTCCGCGTGCTCACCTCTTGGCTGACCTCCGTGTCCTCCGTGTCCATGCGGTCCGCCTCGGCGGCGACGTAAGCGGCCAGCAGCCGCTTGTAGGCCAGGGCCGTGTGCAGCAGCACCTGCGAGTCATGGTCCAGGCTGGCCGGCTCTGCCGAGGTCAGCCCGGCGGGTCAGGTGAGGGCGCCACTGTCGGGCTGCACCGTACGGAACGATTGCTACTGCCGCTCAAACGGCGGCGGGGGTCGTGCTGCGCAGCTTAAGCCGGGCGAATCATTTGCTGGGACGACAATGTGCTTTGAGGCGTAGGTAACCCGCTACCCGCGTGCTGCACACGACGGCGTGTTATGCATGGCCAGTACGGTCGAGACTGCTATAAAGTTGGGCTTAGGTACACTGCCTTTTGAGCCGCGAAATCGCTGTTCGCGTCATTGGATACGACATCCAGTACGACATTGAGTACGACATCCCATTACCTATTAAGAAGAGAACAACAGGCAGTACCATCTTCTGAACAAAAGACGACGCTGTCCGAAAATATATCGAACTGGTACCCTAGCACGTTGTCTTCATCCGCTCCTTGAAACATTACATCGTGACATCACACATCGCAGACATCGTGCGATGGCGGCCTGTGCCTTGCGCCACGCCACCCAAGACCGAGCACACCGTCCTCCCATCCCCCGGCCTGACCTCGCGCCGTGTACAGGTCGAGCGCCGTGTCCAGGGCGGCCTCCATGTCGGCGACGGTCAGGCGGCGGCAGGCCAGCACCGTCTGGAGCGCCTGCAGCCGCGCGCCGGCCGTCAGCAGCGCCGTCAGCTGACCACGCAGGTAGCCGGCCACGTCCGGCGGCGGCGCGCGCAGCTGGGCGCGCAGCTCGCGCAGCAGACTCTGGCCGTGCGCGCGCCGGCTACTGCGCTCGCTGCGGGAGGGCGGGGGTAAGAGGGAGGGGAGGCGGTGGGGACTGCAGTGCGGGCGTGTGCTAGATCATACGTGTGCCAGTGATGGACTGCTTGCGCGGAGATTTGGGGGCGCACCCACATCTACGGTCCTTTGGCCCTGTTTACCTTAAAGATGTAAGAGAAAGTTTGAGTTGGCTACTTTAAAATGTCACCTTCGGTACCGGGTAAATGGATCGACAGCCAAGCACTCAAGCCGCTTCTTCCCCTCCACACCAGCGACCCTCGGCTCATAAGAGGCTTGACCCGGCGAACAAGCGCTGGCCCAGCAAAGCGCCGTTCCGCGTCCACCTCCGCCTGAGCGTGCATTCACATCCACAGCCTGAGCTCACCACTCCGGCTGACGGGCGGCAGCTCTTGCTTTAGCGCCGGGTGGAGGGTCACCCCTGTCCTGCTGTCGCTATCCGAGGGCTCGGTGGAAAGCCACCCTTATCCAGTCATCCTACCTGAGCGCCAGGTGGAAGGCCACCCTTGTCCAGTCATCCTACCTGAGCACCATAAGGGAGGCCACCCTTGTCCAATTGTCCTACCTGAGCGCCAGGTGGAAGGGCACGTTTAGGGTGAGCAGCCGGCCGTCTGCCGAGAGGAACACGGTCTGCAGCAGCTGGGAGGCGCGCCTGCTCGGCTCGGCGCCGTCCGACTCCGACAGGCCCATCAGGCCGTGCGCCACGTTCACCAGTCTGGCGGGCATCGGGCGGAGATCGGCCGGCGTCCCGGGCAGCTCGCGCCGACACCGTCAAACAGCCGGGACAGAGCCTAGGGATTGGACGGCGCGAGGGCGGACCACAGCGAGGCTCCGCAGGTCACCCCGTGAGTTCGCACCTGCCTTACACCCGCGCAAGGCAACTGGTCGGCTCACTCAACACATTCACGACTTCCTGCTGATAACACTACGACGCCTTTTCTCAGGCCGCAATGCGGCTCCGCCGTGCCAGCGTCAAACTGCAAACGGTGCAGTTCAAAACGCTTGGGGACCCATCTCTGGAGAGGTTTCGGGCAAAATTTAAGTGCGGTTTCTTAGAGACGCACACATCACAAAACCAGAACAACCCCACGCAAGCAAAAACGCAAGGCAACGGTTCCAGCTGTTATCTCCCCCATCGTTTTTTACCGTCTTTGAGCACCAACTACGCACGAAAACCACAGCTCCCGAAATAAAAGTGACGATAGACCAGCGACCTAGACCAGCAGCTGCCGCGGCGGCGGCAAGGGCGCACGCCTCCTGAGCTCTCGGCAGCTGCGGTCCTCCCCCCAACCCCCCCCCCCCCCCCTCCCACACAGACCTCGCCTCCGCCTGCGCCCGGCGCCGGCTCACCTGCCGCGGCGGCGGTAAGGACGCACGCCTCCTGATCTTTCGGCAGCTGCGGTCCTCCCAACAGGCCTCGCCTCCGCCTGCGCCCGGCGCCGGCTCACCTGCCGTGTTTGCTGACGCTGAAGGCGGCCACCTTGGGCCCTCCGACGACGGCCCACACTTCGAGCAGGCCGCGGCGGCGCGCGTACAGCGCTAGGAAGCGCGCGCGCCGCCGCGGTCGCCGCTGCTCGGCCGGCCGAGGCTCGCGCACGTCCAGCCAGCCGCATTCCGCGTCCCGGTATCCTGAGCGACGGCCAGCCACGGTCAGGGTCGGAGTCGTGATGCCGTGTGGTACTCTGGGCAGTGCGGATGGCTGCCAGCCAAGTGCTGCAGCAGGCCCTGGTACTGCATAGGTGAGACTACAGCCCTATCCAGCGTGACCTCCCGCCTACGAACGCTCCAGGACGATCGGTGTGAGCTGGGTGGGCGGAAAGACCAGGTCTGTTCGGCTGAGTCAGCAGCTGTGCGCACCATGCCATTGGTGTTTCACGACGAGCTCAGCTGCTGAGGCTTAGGGCGTTGCCTCCCTCTCATCTTGGCAGGAAGGGCGGGGGCCGCGGAGAAGCAAACTGCGTACCTCTGGATCCACAGACAAGCAGCTTAACCACTGTCCGTCGGTAGCCCAAGTGAGTAGCTGTGATCTGATACATATACACAAGGAGCTGGTCGGTAGCTGCCTCCCGGTGTCAGTACGATTTCACCGAAATCTCACGAGCAGCTTAGCGAACAAAATCGACGAGACTAGACTGGAGCGCACACAAGCGTGCTTTCCGGCGGATTAGGATTCCGGCGGATTTGCGGGCTAGTGGGCGGCACGGGCGCCGAGCTCAGCGACCTTCACGCTCTGAGCGGCCGGCGCCCGGCCCCGCGTCCACGCGGCGGGCGGTGCCGGTGCGCCCCGGCGACGGCGCGGCTCGGCCTTACCCTTCCACATGCCGAGCGCGGCGCCGCCGTGGTTGTCGACCAGCGTAACGCGGCCGAAGCTGTCCGTGACGGCGCTCAGGCGCCGGTCACGTGACAGCGCCATCAGCTGGCCCTCGCGCTGCAGGTCCGGCAGGCCGTACCTGAGGCACGGCCACGTGATACTAACGTCGAGTGGCACAGCTCGTATCGTTTCTGAGACAGGCTCCTTGCACTGAAAGTCGGTCGGCTGCGTTGCATGAATGCTTAGCTTATGTCTCTGCAACCAATCCCGCAGCCACGCACATTCGTGTACATTCTTTCCATTGGCTGACACTGCCAGAGTGGTAGCCATCTGTTAACGACGACGATGAACAGCACAGACTCCGGAATGACAGATCAATGCTAATTGGGGCCTTGGGCGCGTCGACAGCTGCCGCAATTAGCGCGCCACCTGAACGAACCTCGCCACCCACCGTCCGAGCATCCGTCACGAACCACTGCACCCGCGACCCACACCAGGCACACCCAACGACACCGGGGTGCGCCTGGCGTAGGTCGCAGGGTGCCGTACGGCCAAGACAGGCACGGCCGCACGGCTCCGTCTTGGCCGTGCGGGGTCACGACGGCCAAGACGGAGCTTGGCTAACAACAGGGCCGAACAGTCGTTTGAGCGAACGCCGTCCGACCGACGGACGTACGGCACGCACCTGCAGTCGACCGGCGTTCCCGGCTCCAGCTCCGTCGCCGGCTTGGCCGCGTCGCTCCGGCTGGCGCCGCCCGCCCAGAAGCTCCTGCCGTGCACGGGAGTGAGGCCGGTCAGCGGGGACGGGACGGGGAGGGGAGGCCGCACAAGGGGCTAGGTGATGAACTGGCGGTCGGAGACGGCTGCGCCTTGAAATGGATGGGAAGACTTCGCTTGAAACAATCGCAATCGGAGCCTCTTGGTGGGCTTTGTCCGATACGACGGTCAAACTCAAGACTATGATCAGCAGGGTGTTAGGCACCGTTATTTCGTTATTGTCCCAAGCTCCCGACACATCTGAAGGCTGCGTCCTTAGTCATGACCAGACACACCAGCCTCAGGGGCAGCGAAAGACGCAGACGCCTTTCGGCTCGATGCACTAAGACAAGCGCTGCTAGAGCCAACCTCATCAGGCAGCCGGTAGGCAATTTCAACACCAGTGACGTCATAGGTAAGGCAAAACATGACAAATATCCCCTGCCCCACAAACACATCTCGGATCCCAACCGCGGACGCCTGCGCCCCACATCGCGGCCGGTCGCGGGCCAGCTGTGCGACGCACCCGATGGTGGAGAAGACGGTGTCCTTGACCTTGGAGGCGACGCCGCGGAACACCTGGTCCAGGCGCGGCTCCTGCACGCCTTCCGACAGGTGGAAGAAGCCCACGAACGGACACCGACCTGCGGTCACCCAGCGACAGCAGCGCGACACGTTTTAGAGCGGCGTGCCGGCTCGATCACACAGCAGGGGCTGGACGGTGCACCCGTGTACCGTACAGGCTTCACGGCGACACCAGATCGGCGCAACCAGGCAGCCAAAAGCTGAATGCGGCGCGCGCAACTGAATGCCAGAACAAGACATTGCGGCAGCACTGGACCGGTTTGGTCCGACGGCCAAGCTACCAGCGAATTATTGCCAAGCCGTTGAGCAGCCCTGATAAGGGCCGACGGATTGTTTGTTTATCACAGACCACGCGGCGACGTCAGCAAATCATTGGGCACCACTGTGCAACACGCGACATTGCAAAACACCTCGTTGGCGCGATCGATAAACAAACCGGGAGGCACTCTCCACGACCCTAATCTGTTTCCATGCCGGGCGGCGGGCGGCATGGCGACGCCATCGACCCCACTCCCACCCGCCTGACCAGAGGCGTCGATGACTTGACACGACCCAGATTGACCTGTGGTGACCAGGAAGGCCCCGGCGGCGCCAATGCAATGTGCACGGGATCGCCGCTCCCTAACACGTGACCTGATCTTTGAACCCACTTCGACACACACTGGCCAAATAGGTACTAATGAACTTATCTGGCCTTAACTGATCTGGCCCTTTCCTAAATTACAGCGAGCAGCAGGGTCCCAGCCCACACCGCTCCGCTGCTGACACAAACCTGACCTGACCTGACCCTTTGCTGACCTGCAGTGAGCAGCAGGGTCCCAGCCCACACCACTCCGCCGCTGAGCCCTGCTGACCTGCGGTGAGCAGCAGGGTCCCAGCCCACACCGCTCCGCCGCTGAGCCCTGCTGACCTGCGGTGAGCAGCAGGGAGCCGGCAGGCACGGCGGCGCTGCCGACGCTGGAGCCGGGGACGGCGCATCGACTCCCCGAGCAGGTGATCAAACAGGCTGGCGGAGCGGAAGCCGACGTTCTCCGCCGTCTGCAGGCTCTGTTGACGGCGCAGCTCCCACTTGCGCTGCGCCAGCGGCGGCGCCTCCAGCCCGCCGCCGCCGCCCGCGCGCACTGCCACAGAGTCCCGGTGTCAGGAAGCCGACGTGTCAAGGGTTCGGTTGTCAGGGAGCCGGTTTGTCAGGAAAAAGGGCGTCATGGAACCGGAGTGCGGGGACTGCGGTGTTGGATTGAGTTCCGTAGCGACTCGTTAAACATCTCAGGTCCTTTGCAGTGTCACCACCCCAAGGTGGACACGTCAACCAGTTAAATATTCCTGTGGCGAGAGTCGATCCATGGACCATTCCATCTGGACCGCAAAAAACTCGCCACTCGGTCAATCCCACCCCTGTCTGGGTACTGGGGTCTCACCAGCCTAACCCACATGGTGAGGACGGTCTCAAACAAGACAAGGGAGCTGACAGTCCACGAGGACGGCGGCGAGGCGGCGGGCCAACGTCATCACACAGAACCGTCATCACTGTCAACGTCATGGGCACTGCAGCAGCTTGGCTGTCCCTCAAGACTGGTGTGAAGGAGTCCAGGGAACTCCCGGACCAGGCACGCCACTAACGCCACGCAGAGCTGAAAGTCTACTGACAGCCAGAAAAGGCAAGCCAGGATAATGCTTAGAGCACATTCCTCACCCAGTTCCACAAAAATTGCTTCAGGCTCTGCTGCACCGTCTATATAACAGCGCAGAAATCGACATATGTTCATGCTGGCGCGTCCCGAGCGTTTGTGGCGCGCCACTCACCACGCGCCAGCTGGTTGCGGCAGGCGCGAAGCGTCTGGTAGAGCGCAAAGCCGTCCAGCACGACCACCACGTCCTCGAGGACGGCGGTGAGCTCCTCCTCGGCGGCGGCCGACACCTGACGGCTGCAGCAGGAGACGCTGAGCACGGCCGACTCGTGCAACCGCTGCCGGAACAGCAGCGAGCCGTCCTGCCGGGCCAGGTCAGGTCAGGCCAACGCCACGGTCGCTCTGAAAGCCAAGTCCTGACAAGTCACGTCGGTTGCAAGGTGGCTCCATTGGCTGTGGCAGCCAGGGTCAGGTCAGGCCAGGTCAGGCCAATGATGGACAGACGTCGTGCCAACCATGGCACATAACGTCCAGTCAGGGCAAAGCAGCAAGCTGTCCTACCACCGAGACAGTAGACGTCGAACGCGGGGGAGGTGTCCTATGAGTCACGGCTGAGATCAATAGTGTGAAAATGTCCTACCAACCACGCCAGGCTGGGTCAAATACAGAAACATCCTACATACTGGCCAGGTAAGATCAACAGAACAGGGACACCCTGCCAAAGAGGTCAGTCTGATCCACAACAGGGCCACGAAATGATCTCGTTCAGGTCACGTCGTCGCGTCGAAATCATCGGCAAGTGAGCAAAAATCTACCTGCTAGATCAGACCATGCACCTACAGCCAAAAGCTAGCCTGCCCATCCCACAGACCAAAACACCTCGCCTGACCTCGCGCCTCAGCACGGTCACACGAGCCGAGCGGCCGCCCAGCGGCGGGCTGTCGCCGACTGACCTCGGTGTAGAAGGCGAGGTGACCCGCGTCGTCGCCCACCACCAGGCAGGTCCAGTCGGCGGCGCCGGACGAGCTGCGCCGGTGCGAAGCCAGCGGCAGGCACAGCAGGCACGTGACGTCCGCCTGCTGCACCTCCAGCCAGGCCGACACCGCGAACCGCCACTGGTCGGCGTCCGAGTCCCACTGGCCTGCGGCGGCCACAGTCCCATTGTCACTGGGCGCGGCGTGGACGGAGAGCTATTTGACCTCGGATGTAGAGCCCAAATGGTGTAAGTGACCTGCCACATTAACCAGCTAAATCCACACATGGAGTTGAGTTACTTCAATAACACCTTGGAACTGCAGGATCGCCTGATGCACCCATGTCTATAAGACCGGCAAGTTTTACTTTGATTGCACATAAAAATGAAATGGCCATCAAATGACCTCAGTGTCTGAGGACACTGTTATGGCGTGGTGTGAATGCATCATCAAAAATGCCTGCGCACTGTGGATAGCAACCACAAGTAAGTGGATCAAACTCCAACTGGCACCATCCCATCCTTTGCACTCTGAGAGCAGCACACCTGCCCCGGAGCCACCCACCCTCAATCAATAGGGATGCCTCCCAGACAGCCTGCCCATGAATCAATCCCCAGTACCCCAAAACTGCAGCATTGCTCACCATGCCTTTACCACCAACCATGGTGAATATTTGCAGAGTGCTACCTCCCCATGCTACCCACAGCCTAGCTCCCACAAAATATCAGAGCAGCAAGCACCCTAAGAGGCCCGCTCGCCTAACAGCACTGACCGGAGAGCAGAGGGAGCAGCACGTCCTGCACGCCCTGGACCTTTCTCACCAGACAGTAGCACCACATGGTGGCCACTGGCCACAGCCAGCATGTCCCCAAGAGGTGAGATGGCCACACAGGCAGACTTCAGCCAGTCCGGGCCAGCCTCAACTGGTGATGACTTGACCTGCTCTGGCTGAGGATGGCTCTCCTCCTCACCCCAGCCCCAGCTAGCAGGGTCAGCCTCCTCCTGCCAGTCTGGAGAATATGGGCAAGGTTACAACAGGTGAGCTACAGGGAGCAGGTGAAAGGGGCAGGTCACAGGGCATAGGGACTGGTCTCAGCAGTGATGCAAGAGGGTGAGCCAAAAGGGAGTGTAAAAGGTGGGTAGGTCAAATGGAATGGAGAGTGTCACAGGTGACAGACCAAATAGATAAATAATGATGAACTGTTACATTGATGGCCAAGGACTATTGCAAACAACTAATTTGGGCCACTGAGGTCATGCAGTCATAACAACAAATGTAGTTACAGACTATGTAGAATAGTTTTGCCTGTCTTGGAAGCTAGGCTGTTGGTCAGGTCAAACATTAGGGGTTAGCACAGTTTTTCAAGGCATGTGTTTGCTTCTTCAAGGCATATTGTTGGTTTTTCAAGTCATTTCCATGTTTGCAGCATGACTGACAAAATGCTATATTCTGCCAATGATGAGAGATCCCAGCCTTCCACATGCCTGTTTTTTTGTTGTTGTTTCTACTCTGGTGTGAATAATATGTATTTGATAGGTATTAGGCATCAAATGTTTGCATATTTCCAAACACAGCACAGTGCAGGAGAAACAGCATGCAGCAAGGGCAATTAACTTTAACACAAGGATTTTTATAAGGATGAACTCAGCTACAAACATTAACAATTCATGCTTAAATTATTAGTTTACGGATCCCCGTTCATCAAAGGATGCAGCATAAATCTGGGCATATACTGGCCTAAAACCTACCGGCATAATACATCCACTCACCTTTATCTTTAGTCATTTTCACCACCTGTCTCAACATCTGTCTGGCCATTCAGGTATGAAATTACCTCTTGCAGTCCTACAATGTTCCCAAAAACCTGCTTCTTGCACGCCATCCTCACAGAAATATGAAACAGCTCTGGGTCAAAATCTGGCAGTTTGCTAAATACTTTATGGCAGCATCATCTAAAAAGCACCAAACTAGGTATAAATAAGTGGTTCTGATTGCCTACAAGTGACTGAAAAATAGCAGTCAAAAGATGCTGCTCAATTCATCATTCTCTACCAACATGTACTGTTTTGTGACAGCTGCCAGCTTGGCTGTGGGAAGAAAAAACATTAGGAAACTGCTATACATAACTGAGGCCACATTAGAGGTACTATCTATCCTGGCTCAAACTTATGTAAGCAGTTTTCAGTTTTCACAGAAGGTCTGAAGGCAGCTATAAAATTGTCAATGGCATTGTAAACTTTCTTACAAACAAGAATGGCAAAAGGAACATTTTACCAAGCATAGACACACAGGAACTATTTCTTTAAAATCTCTTCCATGTCAACAACAGGGCTCACTATAGGGAGCCTTTGAATTCGTCCAAAACGAAACAGTATGAGGGGCAGATATCACTTTTACCCTCATTACAGTGTAACATTCAACATATGCCTACGCCTCAATGATGCTTTACTTAAAGCACACAAGCAATACGAAAGTAGACCATCAGAACGTGCTGCTGGTACTCCATAATTGATCTCAGCACATGAGACAAAGTATGTTTCTGTTCATGTTTCTATGCATTATATTCCAATCGAGCCATACGACGCGACCCCCACTCATCCCCATCCCCGACTCTTAAACAAGCCAGGAGAATAACAAAGCTGCTGAGGCGAATAGATGCAAGGAACCAATGGATGCTTACCGCAAAATTTCTCCGAGCACTTTCCAAATGACGTCATTGGCACACGGCGCCTACGCCTAGTCAGCCCATTTTGAAGGGCTGGATTGAGCAGATGCATCTGAAAGGTACAAACTGTATTTCTATGAATTATCTCACAATATGAGACATGCGTGTGCCTAGTTTCTCCTTTCGTTCCCGCGCCTTTCTGGGCGGCGCAGACCAGACTGGTGTACCCATCGTGTTCAACCCCCTCACAACGCGGTGGGATCGGTACGTAACATCCCTGTGGCCCATGTTATCTGCATTTCCAAAGGAGCTAGCAGCAATGACATGCAATGCATGCCTTTACTATCGGACTGAAAATTAAAAAAGTGACCATTCCTTTCTCCCACCGCAAAACCTTGCACTTGCTATTTCCAAACGTAAAAGGACGAAAGGTACTGCGTATATTACCATGTTGCGTTACAACAAAGAACCCCTTTTTCGCTGTAATTCACGGTCTTTTCATAGGCTGACATGGGTTCACCAACGCTATACTCCCCGCCTGGTAACAAGTATGATGATTAGACCAAACTGAGTGTTGATAACACGCTGAAGCACCGAGTCAGTATACCATGTGTATTTTCCATAAACAATGCCGTCAGGCAGTAGAGTAGCAAAGAGAACATCACAGTCCTGTGCCTCGGCTCGACTCGGCTCGGGCCCCGGACATCAACAGAAGGCCAGATCGGTCGACACGCAGACACGAGTACATCGACGACAAGGACACGGTGCGCCCACTCCACACGACGACGGAGCGCGCTGCGACAAAACATCGACAACGCCACAACAGCGACACCAAAAACCGACATAGACAGATGGTCGAGCAGCGCGCGCGGGCACGGGCAGCCTGCTGGGGGGCGACGCGTCAAAGCGCGTCGGCGGCCGGCCGACCGGGCCCAGCCTCGGGCGGAGGCCGTCCGCGGACTTTGCGCCGTCGCCGTCATGCGGCCCGGCCGGCCGGCGCCGGCGCGCGCCACGCCGCTACCGCAGCACGCCGCCGCGCGGACGTCTAGCGCGGGCACGCATCATCGCAGGCCGCCTCCGGCTTGTCGGCGGCCGCCGGCGGCGCAGCGTCGATCCCCAGCGCCTGCCGGAGGGGGCTCGTCAGCCCGGCGCGCGCCGTCCGTCGCGGCCAGGGTAGTGGTGCGAGATAAGCACAATCGGCCCGAGCCAGGCCGCACGCCACGCTTCACGGGCTGATAGGCCGAGCAGGTGAGGCGGAGCAGGCGGAAGGCGCAAGGGACGGAGATTGCACTCGCGCCGACAGGCGATGGTGTCTCGCGCCACGTGGTCGGCAATGTCGCCACAGGGGCCGAAAATCGTGTTCCATTGACAGGAAACTTTAAGGGACGGGAGCTTAGTTCCAAGATCAATAGGGAACACACGTTGACCAGATTGTTAAAGAAGCTTAGGTAGGTTTCGGAATCAAAATCAGAATAATTTCAATCTTGTGAGCATGACCACGTTTATATACACGCACATATATATATATATATATATATATATATATATATATATATATATGTGCCGGTGTGTGTGTGTGTGTGTAGATATACATGTACGATTATCTATATATATATATACACATACATAAAGGACGACGTGCAGCTAGTGCCACCAACGCCGGCCTGAGCAGCCCTCCCCGCCACCGAGCCACCCCCGACGGTTGCATAAGTCACCTTGAGCACGGCGCCATTCTCGACGTGGTCGGCCGGGCCATCCTGCTTGAAATGGAGCAGCGTCTCCTTCCCGCCGGCGCTGACCACCAACGTGCCGCCCATGGTGAAGCCGTCGCCCTTCATGTCGCCCTCGATCGACAGGGTCTTGGCCTGGGCACACGGGCACGCGCCGGTGAAACGCGGGGTAGGGTCAGATGGCCCGCTGTGCGGGTGCGACTCGCCGACAAGGTCGGGGTGATGACTTGCAAAATGACAGAGCCAGAGTCGGACGCGCTGGGTGGTCGGAGTCATCCGATCGAGAAAACGGGCCGAGTGTCATGCTCAGCACAAGTATCGTCGGAAGAAAAGTTGCGATACTGTGGTGCGCATAGTGGCAGTTTTCTCACAGCGGCAGCCCTACACGTACCGTTGTCTGCATCTCCAGTTCTGATGCGCTCGCAGGTGCTTACGCCCGGGTGCCCACGCGTCGTCTCAACGCACCCGGCCGGTGGCGACCGGTCGCGGTGGGTGGACGCACCTTGAGACACGCCAACGAAACTTCAGCACGGCGTCGCCGCCGGCATGAGACATGAAACGCCGTGGGGGAGAGGGGGGGGGGGGGGGGGGCTACACGGTCCCTCACCCGACTCATGGCGTCGCGTCCCTTCTTGCCGAACACGCTGGGCCAGATGCTGAAGTAGCCGTGCTTCTTCACCTTCATCTCCTTGTACGTCTCTTGCTTCAGGTCCACGAACAGCTCTGCAGGGAACAAGCATTTCACGTGCGCATGAGATGACGCTCCTTTCAGTCTTGCTGAAGTATATGAGCGAGCAAATGACAGTAGCACATTTTCTGTAGCACGTTGTAGTCTATCTGAACAGAACACAAGTAAAAAAAATGCAAGGTTCACAAAACCGCACAGAAAGCCAGAGAAGACGCAAAAACGCAACGCAAGGTTTCACACGTGCGGGATCACGTCCCAAAAATGGCAGCAAGACGTGATCACCGGTCTCACCTCCGGAGAAGCACTGTCCCTTGACGAACAAGACCTCATCACCAGCCTCACCTCCGGAGAAGTACTGTCCCTTGACGAACTCCCGGCCTCACCTCCGGAGAAGTACTGTCCCTTGACAAACTCCTCCTGTCCGAGCTCCTCCAGCCCGACGCCGACGAGGCGGACGCCGTGCTGCTTCAGCTGGGGGTGGATGGCACTCAGGTCCTTCGCCCCCAGCCTGCAGAACACTCATCCGAACCGGCGCAGAAAGGTCACCACCGTCGGCTGGTCGGCCCACAGCGAGCCCAGCGTCACCATCTGGAACATGCGGCGCAGGATGATTACCACTGTCGGCTGGTCGGCCCACAGCGAGCCAGGGTCCCCATCTGGAACATGTGGCACAGGTACTGCACCGTGGCACGGCAGGGGCTTCCATGCAGAATAACACCAGTGTAGATATGATAACCAGCAGCCCCTGCTGTACATGTTTACGAAGCTGTCATCTCACGGCCAGTTGCAGATGTAATTGGATCAATGTGCATTGCTATGACAGTTTTAACTTGCACTCAAGGTGTTTAACTTGCACCCAGTTTGAATTCAGCAAATAATGGATGCCAATTAAAAATGAAACTACTACTCCAAATAGCTATATTTGAGATTGGAACATCATTTCCTCAACCAGTAAGGTTGGTCAAAAGGGAAGCAAGCAATGCTATTACCTTTCCAACACATACATTTCCCTACATATTTTTATTTACTTTTCAATGTCTTACACTCTAACATTGTTTAAGACTTTACCAGCTTTTTCATCAAAGCTGCATGGGGTATTCCACTCTAATGAACAATGACTGGGGTTTTTTTCCTGTGGTTGCTTTTGTAATGTGGTAATTGTGCTGACCTTACACTTAAAATGTATAAAAGTAATGACTAGGCTTCTCACAAAATGCATATATTTTAATCATGTGTACTGCTGAGCATATTTTAGCACTTAATTTATGCCCAGGTCAGATGTCCACATTAATTTGGCTCCAAAACATGAGTCTAGGCACCCCACAATCCGCAATACTCCAGAGCAAAATGGTAACACTGGGCCACATCAATGTCTTATTTTAGTATTTGGTGTCAGCTCTATGGTCACAAGCTGAGTTACTTTTGCAAATGCCTGGCAGAGGTGGGTAGAATGGCATATTGATGTTGAATGTCCAAAGACACATGCACCAATATACTGGGTCTGGTGCAAAGGGAAAGAAGTAGCCTGACCAATTTCACATACCAGTGTCTGAGCTCTTGGAGTTGGCCTGTTAATACATCACACAGATGAATAAACCCATGCAACTTGTAACACTGAATAAAATTCTCTTAGAATATTCTTTGTCCTGGGATTAGGCCTCTATTTGGTGGTTTGCATGTTATGCAACACCAAACATTTTCTGTCTTTTCAGCAAAGTAGGTGTCCCCAGCATACAACAAACAGAAGGGATTCTTAAAGTGGTGCTCCTAAAATTCCCATCATTTTTAATCCAACCCCTATTTTGATCATGCTTTGATATGGAAGCTTACCCTTATATGTAAGTGATGTCTTAATGCATGAGTGCAATACAAAGTAGCCTGTCTCCAGGCCTCCTTGTCATACATAGGGCCTCAAACTGACCACCCCACTCCTTTCCACTGCAAAGACAACCATGGTGCAAGCTGCTTTCATCTAATTGGTGTTCATTTGAACATCATTAAGTTCATATAATGGCTGGACCACCACTAGGGGAACATATGCATGCCAACATAATAATATCATATCAATTCACCAAACAATACCTGTACTTAATGCAATAATGGTCAAGAACATCCACACCCTTAAAAATCTGGAAGTGATTACAAGTTGACTCATATCTGATTAGCTATCAACTGGCAATTTTGTTGAGTCCAAGCAGCATGTATACCAACCATGTGTACACCAGTTGCTTGATGCTATGTTAGTCCAATCCAATATCAATGAAGGGACATATTGTCCCTGCATGGTATGGACAAATGATGCAATGTGATAGGTATTACATAACTAGGTCAGTAGGTCAAAATAAATCAGATTAGGTCCAAGCTCACTCATATCCACCAAAGACAGGTGGTTGGATATCATAATAGCTGTGAGCTAAATAGAAGCACTCTCACCTCTCCTGTTGAGACGCTCTTCAGTTGGGTGGCAGCTAACTTGGACAAATTCATCTTCTCGGCCTGCAGCTCACTGTTTTCAGCAAAAAGATACGCAAGGAGCAAGCAACTCGCGATACTGGCACCGACGCGAACCCGGGTCGAACCCAGTACCCTGCTTACGTAACAGGCAAACGTAGACCGACGAGCCTCCAGGACTTCAACTTTATGCGAACGAGCCCGGCGCCCCAACACGGCCTCTGCCTGCTGACAACTGACGTGACCCGTAGCCTCGCAGCGACAACGATTCGAGAGTGCGGGTGATGTCTTATACCAAAAGCAGTTAAAATAAAACAAAGTACCGAAAACGTTTGGAGCCTTATTGGGCAAGAAAGAAGCAACAAAAAAAACGTCGAAAAACTGAAAGACAATACTTTATAATGCTTTGAAAAGATTCGGTGACCAGGCCAAGCTTTGACGAAATATTCTAGGTCACATTTTGAGTCACATTTAATCATTCGAAAGCATTCCGGCGTGCCCGGTCAATTATTCCTGCTGAGAACATGGGGGGGGGGGGGGGCACATATTTCTCCTTCCGGGGGACAGCGATGGGATTAGCTATGGAAGACGGCAGGCCTGTAAACCTTAGGCCAGCAGCTAGGAAGGCAGTCGTTTTGTGTCTCCTCAGCGGTGTAGTTCGTAATGAAATATAAGTTGCCAATACGTAAAACCTGCTCACGACTCGTCAAATATATTTACACAAATTAAAACAAAGAGGGAAACGCATTTCCTGTCGCTCATTTTGAGTGAATGAGCTGTAATATCGGTGCCCAAGCTCGACGGTGCTACGGTATCAACGGTGGGCCACGTGCTCGGGTTCGCCTGAATCAAATAGATCTAGTTCATGCCGCACTCGATTTTGCCAGTCTAAACGCATTTGATCAAAGAACGTTTGGATGCGCTTAGGACCGCACTACAAACGGTGGTGGTGCAGACCTGGAAGGTGTATGTGAACTCTGTGATCCCCACGTAACGCGTTATGGGGCTGTATTATCGGCATGGCGATGAATGTCTAGATTTAGGGGAAAGCGGAGCAAGACGGACACCTTAACGTTTTTTATGGGAAGTTTATAAGTCTGTCCAGAAAGTCTTAAGCAGGTGGATATTGAAGGCTCATCAATTGTCTAGCTCTTATAAAAGCGGTGGTCTGATACCTCTTCATGTTTAAGTGTGATCCTCCTAAATATCAGGCAATGTTTTTTCCTCATTTTGCCCCTGGCTTGGGGCAAAACGAAGCAGTATTTGGGGCAAAACAGACAAGTGATGAGATTGAATAAGCGGAATAAATATTTTCAAAGTTATCATTTTTTAATGCAAGCGTATCAATAAGTGCATTGCTCGGCGAGTAGGCATTTAGCTGGACATCTAATAGCTATATTTCTTAAGTTGGGGCCCTCATATTTTGTTCGAACGATCCCACTTCATACTCGTTTCCTCAGTATGATCCCACGAATACAAGATATAATGGCCAGAAAATGTATATTGCAGCTTGGTAGGAGGCGACAGTCATTGCTGCATGGCTAAGACAGAGAACTAGAGGAACACAGCCTGGTCGTTACGCAATGAGACGGAAACGATCGAGTCTCGAACACACAAGTCATCGAGCAAAGCTCGCTCAGGAACACTCACTCGTTCTTCTCATCAATCTACTTCTTAGTCACTGTGAACGCAAAACACGAAAAGAGCACAGCCCAATGGACCCGTCAGCAGGTACGACCAATGGCGAAACTAGACAAGACCTCAGCGTGCCTAGTCATCCCGGCACAGTTCGCACACGAACACGCACTCATCCTCTTCGTCAATCCCGGCACAGACATCGTGCGCCCATTTACCGCAGAGAGCACATCGCGACCAAGATTCGCCCGATTTGGACATGGAGAAGAAAAACCGGCAGTACAGACAAGCTACATCTTCCTCGTCCGAGGATTCCTCGAAGGTGAGCTTTCGCGGCGTATGCTTCTTTTATTTGCGCTGCGGTCTCTGAGTTTCTACACTCTTCCTTTTTCGTCCTTTAGACTGACTTCCGTCGTCATTTTTCTTTCCTCCCTGCCTGCCCTCTTTTCCTTCGTGTCTTTTATCGAGTTCCTCCTTGTATGGCGTGCCAGTCAAGACGCATGTTTTACCTTACTTTCGTCCTTTACCTCTCTCCACCCTTGAGTTCACTTTTGACACAGGGAGGATTTCGCGAGGAGACACAGAAGAGCTTGTGGGTGTGTCATTTTGACCTGGGAACCATGGCTCGGTCCAGCTGAGCATGACACTTCTAGAACGTCATCTTCGTCATCGCTAGAGCTTGAGAAATCATCTGGGAGAGCCCTAGCGGTGAGCAATTTCGCCGGAGTTTCGGCATTAGTCGAGCTTCCCTGTCCCGATATTCCATCCTGCGTTGCGTCTCCGGCGACAGTTTCCGAGGACTCCCGAACGTTCGTGCTCAGCGAGACATCGACGTCAGAGGGCCCAGGCATGGGCAGAGGAGCTGCTGCTGAGTTGAGACCCACTGGTGCGTCTGCGGTGCCGGCCAGTGGGATGTTCGTTGTTTCCGCCGCCTGCGAAATCTTCTTCGCCAAACACATGGCGGTTTGTGAGAAAGATCCGTGACTTCAAAGCCCTTCAACGTCTTCTTCACTGTTGTCGCCTGCACGTAGGCTGACCCGATCAGCTCCCCCATATCATACAGCGTGATGACGTTACCAGGGTTGTTTCGGAGCCATGTTCTCTGACCTTGGAAGAAGAAGGTGCTGACGGGAAGCATGAACGTCCGGTTCAGTGGTTGAAGGCGGTGTGAGGTGTGCGGAGGAGTGATGAGCAACACCACACCTGCTTCCCTGCACAGCAGGATGGCTGCGAGGCTTTGGGTGTGGCTGGCATGTCCATCCAGTATGAGAAGGACTGGATCCTGTTTCGAGGGCTTCGCGTGCTGTATGAAATGGTCAAGCCATTTCACGAACAGCTCCTTCTGCATCCAACCAGACTCATAGTACAGCACCGGGCTACGTGGGGGAAGACCCCTCTCTTACTGCTGGCTGGCTCTCTTTCTTGGGAATAGCACACCTGGAGGTATACAGCTCGCAGCAGCATTAAAACACACCACCCCGGTAACCAGCGCGCCTAGTTCCGCAGATATCAGTTGGCCGGCCTGCTTGCACCCTTTCCTCGCCAGTACCTTCTCTTGTTGTGTTGTCACCGTGTTGAATCCCGTTTCATCCATGTTGTAGATGCGTGTGGGACCGAACTGGGCAGAATCCATCCGCGACTCAAGGTTGTCGAACAACGCGTCGACATTGGCAGAGTTGAACGCTGCTGCGCGAGCAACGCTTGTGGCCTCTGGTGTCCTTAGTGAGACCGTGGAGTTCCCCTTGCGTAAGCACCGTATCCACGACTCCCCTGCCATCTTCGTCACCGTGTTGAATGGGTGGGTGATATTGTTTCTGTCTGCGAACTCATATGCGAGCTTCTTGAGGTCAGTCAGCGTTATTCCGAACGTCCGGTTTTGGAGCTCCATTATACGCTGTACCAAATCTCGCTCCTGAGCTTCCGTGAAAGCAGGTTTGTGTCCACCCAGGACCTTCTCTGTGGCCTCTGTGATTGACACTGCACGCGCCTTTTTCAGCCGTCTGTCGAGAGTCGACTTCGGGACCAGAAAGCGGCGTGCCGCTTCTTTTGTGGACATTTTTCCCATCTTGACTGCTTTGATGGCCTTTGCCATCGTATCCTGCTTCCAGGATTGCCGATCGGATTTTCTCTTGTAATTTCGAACCATTCTCCATTTGGCGAAGTAGTTCCTCTGTAAAAAAAAGAATGTCAGCGTGAGCGTTGAACGGATTTGGGAGGGTCATTTGGCGCTTAAGCACCCCCCCCCCTTCCCACCCCTCTCTGGATCCGTCAGTGTACCTATATTCCTTTTCATAAACTAGGAAAACGTTTACCTGCTATGAAAAATTAAGTACAATGATCAAAACGAAATACCTAACTGCATGCCTGTAACTAGTTGGTAATAGGGCACTTCATTTCTTGTGTTAAATTAGTTACGTTTAATATTAAGGGAGATGGGATAAAACGCCTTCTGTGTAATTCCGTACAATAAGTCAGTCCTAATGTTTAAGGAACAAGAAACCGTTGAACTATTTAATAATTCAAAAGCAAAACATCTATTTTTTACCCCAGTTCTGTCGGACGGAATACCTACGCGTTAGTACTTAGGGTAGTGCCTGTGAATGCAGAGAAATACACCCTTTAAATGTGCGGAGAAGTACGAAATCTACTGTGAGATTTATGCGATAATGACCAAAAATGTCTTAACTTTTCACCTTTTTCATAGCTAAGTTACTTTTTAAGATACTTTTTTCATAACGGGTCGGTCGGAAGTCGTTGCTTGTTTGCTGCCTAACGAGGAAGCTATAGAGGCTATCAAAGAAATGGGTAAATGCGTGATACTGAGTCAAGTCATCACAGGTAGGCACTTACATTTCTTATATTCACAAATGGGCTTTGTTAAACAACATAATTATAATACATTAGGCCCAAAAGGAGCGATAAATATAGAGCTATCACATGCGCACCTTCAATAAATTTTAAGCGACAAATCGTAAGGCTGCACATTCCCAGTTTGATGCAGTAGTTCGACCACTATTTAATCACAGAACTGAACAGGATCGATTCACTTGTTTCGGGCTCTACTCATGTGCTTGCCACTACCATTGAAGTATTGTGTTCATGGCTTATTTAAGCCAACTTTTCTTGCGATAGTCATATTTCAGTTGGGGCAAAACGGGATCTTTTATGTACTTTTTCCCCCGAGTGCCCATTTTGCCCCAACCATTCTGCCCCATGGACGCCAACAACACACCATGATTCGATACGCAACGCGAACTGGCCCGAAAAATTCACAATTGCTCACAAGGAATCTGCATGCCTACACCATCGAAGCGCAGCAACTTTGAATTCACGATTCATTATACTCGTAGAATAAACAACATCCAAATCACCATAAAAATAATGGCAAAAAATGGAAAGCAAAAGCTCACGTCCTCCTCCAATGATGGCCGCCGACAGAGGGGCCCGGTCACGTCATGTCCGTCCCTTGTCAGAGAAGCTTTCATTTAAACAATTTATTTTTGATACCGCCACCTATAACAGCCGACATCGCGGGGTGTCCGGTTTACCAGGGTGCCTCATTTTGCTCCGTTTTCCTCCACTTACAGATATTG